CTCCATGGGCGCGCAGACTTGTCGCCGATGTAGGTAGCGTTTGCCGGCTGGGGGAGGGGCGCTCGGGCAAAGTCGACGAATGTGACTCCCGACCCCTGGCATTTTTCGATGATCCTGATCTCTCGGACTGGTTCGGACGACTCGCCGCGACTGTGCTTCGGGTGGCGTCCTGGGCAGTGGTTGCCCCCCCCCTGGGTTTCAGGCCCCTGGTTCTCCTCGAGATCTCCAGCAAGACCCTCGAGATCATGATGGTGATTCTGGATGCTGTATTTCAGGGTGTCGTCGCAGACTCGCTGCGCAAAGGCGGCTTGCTGGTCGTCTACAGCGGGGGCGCGGGCTGCAGAGTATACTTTGGCATCTCACTGCGGGTGGTCAATGCTTTGTATGTGGGCAAGTTTTCGATTTCAGGAACTCGGCGTGCATGCGCGTTATCACATCGTTCCGCGCTGGTATCTGAATAATGGGTTGGTCGCGCGCGTTCGGAGCGGCTGGCGAAGAGGATGCGACGACGTGCGCGCGCGGGCTCTGCGGCGCCTCCGGTCTCGAGCGCGGTGCGCTGCGTCCGCGTTATCGTGGGCGCCTCGCGCTCCTTCCGATCGCTCGCCATGCCCGACGGCCCAGCGTCGACGGCTCCAGTGGGCTCTCCGGGGGATTCGGCGGCGGCGGCGGCGAGTTCAATGCCGGGGCCCGAGATGCCCGCCTGGGGCCTCTTCCTCGGCAGGCCTCGCGACGAGGGCGGAGGGCCCGCTCTCGAGAGCCCTCGCAGGGCGCGTCTCGCCGAGCTCAAGACGGACGCCGAGAAGGCCGTGGAAGTCACGCAGGTCTGTTCCCTCCAAGTCGCCGGCGCGCGCCCTTGCCAAGCTGTGCGCGGCCAATTCGCGCGACGTGGCCGACCTGATCGGCGCCTCCTTCAGCTCTTTTCTACGCCCCGCGCTGTGCGGGGTTGTTCGCGCTTTTCGAGGCGCGGGCAAACAGCGCGCGACCGCGTGCGAGGAGGCGGGGGGGGGGGTCCTGGCTTGGGCCCCCCGCTGCCTCGCGTGTGGATGGCGCTGGTCAGGGCGCTCTTCATCGAGAAGGGTGCGGCGGAGAAGGCTCGCGGCGCTCTCCGAGTCCACTGGGGTGCGGACATCGGCCGCTCCGACGGCGACTTGATGGCGCCGCGGGATCAGGCTAGATCTTGTCGCGCGAGGCCGACGTATTGCAGCAGGGAGAAGAAGGGCACTCCCAAGGTCTTCAAGCTGCAGTTCATGCTCTCTCGGCGGGGGCCCAGACGTCCACAGTCAGCTGGAACGGAGAGACTGTCGGCGGCGTCCGCAGAACCGCGTGTCGGAGCCTCCTCGCCCGCGGGGGGCAGTGCAAGGCGGGCGGCCCTCCCCGAGGGGGGGCTCGAGAGGGGGGCGGGGCGTCTTCTCAGCAAGCTTGGCGCGCAGAAAGGCCCCGGCAATGGGGTGGGCGAGGGCGCAGAGGACGTGTGCGAGACATGGCCAGTCTTGTCGGCATCAATGGATCCGCTCGCATGGTTGCTATGGCCCAAGATGGTCGGCTTCGGCGTTATGGATTGGTTGCCTTGCAGGATCGCAGCGCTGATCCCATATCGTGCTACGTGGCCTCTTCGGGCCGAGAGTTCAGATGCAGATGCAGGTGGATCCGCAGGTTGCAGCTGTGGCCTCTGAGGGTCGTGCTCATCATCGGTTGGTGAGCGTCCGTGGGAACCCGGGGCTCTATCAGTTACAGTCGCAAACATTGGGCAATGCTTAGGCTATTCCCAACCCCGCCAAGACATGGCGTTGAGGGGTGCTCGGGTCGCCATGATGTTTTCCTTCGCGGAACCCTCTTCGTCTGCTGTTTGTTCAGATGATTTGTTTGCGCGTGTGTGCTATGCGCGTGTGCTCGCATGAGGTGTGCGTGTGGCATTTCCTGACGCATGCAAGTGGCTTTATCGTCGTCACTTGTACGCTCAACTGCGGAGCGGTGCCCAGCCGCGGCCTTCAAGTTTCCCCGTTTCGGAGGTTTTCGGGGCGGGCCAGAGGCATCCCCCTGCAGAGCGGTCTAGACAGCCGCTCAGACGAAGCGAGCGCAGATCCAAACACAGCGGCAAGTACCAGGTGCCCCTTCTTTTTTCCCAGCCCTCCTGTGTTGGGTTCTCTTTTTGAATAGAGCAGTGTGGTCTCCGCCCTCCTCCCGCCTCCTCGCTCCTGCCTTCTCTGCTCTCCTGCCGTCTGGTTCCTGATTCCGCCTCGCCGTCTTGTCTGTTGGGTGGCCTTGCCTAGGGGTTGCGATCACTGGGGGGGGGGTGCTGCGGTCTGCGCAACTGTCAGAGGTGCGTCATGCGCACATCACCACTATAGCTCGCCGTGCCCTGGGTGGTTGCGATGTGCGAAACTGTCGGCGCTTTCGTGGGCTCCTGGGGGGCCCAGCAGAGGTACGTCGTGCGCAGATCACCACTATAGCTCGCGGTGCCCTGGGGGGCTTGCGATTTGCGCAATTGTCGCCACTTTCGTGGGCTCCTCATACGCAGATCACAACTATAGCTCGCGGTGCCCTGGGGGTTGCGTTCTTGGAAACTGTCGGCACTTTCGTGGGCTCCTGGAAGGCATAGCGGGGGTGCGTCATACGCAAGTCACCACTATAGCTCGCGGTGCCCAGAGGGGGCTGCGATCTGCGAAATTGACGCCACTTTCGTGGGCTCCTGGGAGGCCCAGCGGCGGTAACTCATGCGCAGATCACCACTATGGTTCGCTGTGGCCTGGGTGGTTGCGACATTCGAAACTGTCGCCACTTTCGCGAGCTGTTGGGGGGCCCAGCGGATGTACGTCATCACGCAAATCACCAGTATAGCTCGTGGTGCCGTGGGGGGGCTTGCGATCTGCGGAACTGTCGGCAGTTTCGTGGGTTCCTGGGAAGCCCAGCGGATGTACGTCATGCGCAGATCACCGCTATAGCTCGCGGTGCCCTGGTGGCTGCGAAACTAGACGGCCCAAGAGAGATTCAATAAAGCGCCGATCTGCGCAATTGCCCGCCGCTGTCGTGGGCTCCCGGGAGGCCCAGCGGAGGTGCGTCCCACGCGGATCACCTCGGTGCCTCGCCGCCTCATGGGGGGCTTTCGATCTGCGCAGTTGTTGCCATTTTCATGGGCTCCTGGGAGGTCCGGTGGAGGTGCGTCCCACGCGGATCACCTCGGTACCTCGCCGCCCCCTGGGGGGCTTGCGATCTGCGCAATTGTCGCTACTTTCGTGGGCTCCTGGGAGGCCCAGCGGAGGTGCGTCCCACGCGGATCACCTCGGTACCTCCCCCCTGGGGGGCTTGCGATCTGCGCAATTGTCGCCACTTTCGTGGGCTCCTGGGAGGCCCAGCGGAGGTATCTCACGCGGATCACCTCGGTGCCTCGCCGCCCCCTGGGTGGCTTGCGATCTGCGCAATTGTCGCCACTTTCGTGGGCTGCTTGGAGGCCCGGTGGAGGTGCGTCCCACGCGGATCACCTCGGTACCTCGCCGCCCCCTGGGGGGCCTGCGATCTGCGCAATTGTCGCCACGTTCGTGGGCTCCTGGGAGGCCCAGCGGAGGTACGTCACGCGGATCACCTCGGTACCTCGCCGTCTCCTGGGGGGCTTGCGATCTGCGCAATTGTCGCCACTTTAGTGGGCTCCTAGGTGGCCCGAGGACGTAGAGGAAGGGGAAGGAAGAGGGATGCAGTGGGGTGGGGCGAGGAGGAGAATCATGAACATGAGCAACCTGAGGATGGGGGAGAGGAGCATGCGATGTTGATGGTGACGGTCCTGATGGTGTTATTGATGGTGTTGATGATCATGGTGATGATGATGATGCTGATGATGATGATGATGATGATGATGATGATGATGATGATGATGATGATGATGATGATGTTGTGGATGATGATGGGGTTGATGATGAGTCTGGTTATAATGCTACTGAAAACGGTGGCGATGATTGCCATGCTGATGACGATCAATATTGTGTTGCGGATGATGGTGGTGACGACGACGATGCTGCTGATGGTGTCGGCGATGATGCGTATGATGCTGATGATGATGGTGATGCTGATGATTGGGATGAAAACGATGTTGTCGATGGTTAGAGTAAAACTAACACCTGATGGTGATGGTGATGGTGATGATGACGATGATGAAGTTGGTGATGCTGAGGCGGCTGCTGATGGAAATGATGATAGTTATGCTGGTGTTGTTGATGCTACTGCTGATCATGACGACGATGAGGATGCTGCTGCTGCTGATGATTATGATGGTGGTGATGATGGTGGTGGTGATGGTGATGATGATGGTGATGATGATGGTGATGCATCCGAATCGGACTGTTATCATGATGGCGCTGATGACGATAATGGGGGTGCTGACGATGATGAACATGATGATGCTGATGATGAAGGTGGTGCTGATGCTAATGCTGAAGGTGATGGCTGGGCTGGCAGCGTGGTGATGGTGATGGTGATGGTGATAATGATGCTGATGGTGATGGTGACGATGATGATGATGATGACGATGATGATGCTTACGATGATGATGATGCTGATGATGATGATGATGATGATGATGATGAAGAAGATGATGCGCGTGTTGGTTCTGGTTATGATGTTGCTGATTCTGATGATGATGATGATGGTGATGGTGTTGCTGCTGCTGCTGCTGCTGATGATGATGGTGATGATGCGGAGGAGGCAGAGGAGGAGGACCAGGAGTCATATGTTGTTGTTGGTGATGCTGGTGATGCCAGTGGGTTTGTTGATGATAATCATGGTGCCGATAACGAGGGTGATATTGAAGAGCGCGATGAAGGGGATACTGATGTTTACGATGATGATGAGGAGGGTAATGGTGAGGGGAATCTGAGGGGGATGATGGACAATTCGGATTGCGAGTGTGAGGATGAGGCGGATTAAGGCGACGGGGAAGAATATGAGGAGGACGATGACGAGATGCGAGGAGAGATGGTGAGGAGGGACGGGCGCGCGGGCTTTTCTTCGGCAGCCTTGGCTCAAGCTGCCTTGGAGCTCTGACGCTCAATCGCGCATGCGTATTGTCGTGGGCGCTGGCGAACGCTCTTCCCCCTCTCGCCTGCAGCTCAGCGCCTTTGTTGCTGCTCCTGCGCCATGGACGAGAGCAAGGTGACCGCTCCGGACTACAGCGGCGGAGGCAGAGAGATGGGGTAGCTGGGTGACGAGGTTGGGCACGAGCGGGAACAGCAGGCAGGATGAAGAATATGATTGCGAGGAAAGGAGGAATGACAGATGAAGGAAAGAGAACTAGGAGAAGGATAAGGCATAACCAAATAATGAGTGGAGTTTGGGGGAGGGGGGCAGGAGGATGAACAGGACGAGGGGAAATGAGATGGGAAGGGCAGGGGTGAAAGAAGAGGACGGACGGAAGAGGAAGAGGAGATGCGCAGTGGCTGACGGGAGGGCCAGAAGGCGGGCAAGGTGACCGTTTTGGACGACAGCCCAGAGCGCGAGTTCACGGAGACGGAGATCCGCGAGTACGGCGAGTTCCTGGGGATCGAGTGGGACGAGGAACTCGGATTTTCAGGGACGAGGTTCCCTGTCTAGGAGTGGGGGATGAGGAGGAAGGGAGGGAGGGAGGGAGGGAGGGGGGAGGAGGAGAAGGAGAAGGAGGGGGAGGGGAACGGGGAGGGTGGAGGCAAAGGGACGGAGGGAATGAGAGGGACGTGTCGAGGCCAGTTGACTCGACGAGGGCGTCTACTAGGATGTCTTCACTTTTTGCATAGGATATGTGACCAGGTGTGGGCTGGACCTTTTTCGCTTCCCCCAACGACCCTCTCATCCTCTTCTACTCCTCCGCCTTCCTGCCTCCTCCCCCCTTCCTTCCCCCACTCTCTTTTCCCCCCTCCTCCTCCGTCCGTTTTCCTCATAAAGAAGTCTTCCCTGTCGCACCCCCAGACCTGTGGGTAGGGCGGGCCGAGCGTTTCGGCTCAGACTTCCTCGGACTTGCGATCCTGAAGCTTGAAGTGTGCAACAGTTTCATGGATGAAGGGCGTGTCCTATTCAACATGTGGCCCTCGTCTTAGCGCCACGCACGCTGGTTTTAACACATATCATCAGTTTTAAGGATAGATGCCAGATTATTCTAAACATGTAGGTCTCGCTTTAGCGCCGCGTACAGTCGTCTTGAAAGTTTGCAGCAGATTCCAGGGTCCGTATGGTTGAAGTCCAGGAACGGTGTTCTGGCACGTTGTAGGACTGTCAGGACGCAATAGTAATGTGGATTCGCTCTGTTGAAGTCCCAGGAATGGTGTTCTGGTGCGACTTGGGATTGTCAGGACTCAACAGTCACGTTGATTCGCTGCGCTGAAGTCCCAGGAGTTGTGCTTTGGCACAGTTGAGGATCCTCAGACGGCCGCCTTCCAATGGGGCACTTCACGCGATGGCAATCAGTTCTTGTACGGACCTGCGAGACGGGAGCTTGGAGGTTTATTGCAGCGTCGTTGATGTGTGTCTTGGATTTGCACTTGTCCGCCTCCTCCGTTTCCTCCTCCACCCTCTCCTTATCAATGTCAGGCTACTCAATACCTGTCTTCTCGTTCCTCCTCGCTTCTCCTCATTCGCCCCTTTCCCCCCCAGCTTCTCCCCCCTCCCTCCTCCTCTTCCTTCTCATTCCCCTGCTTCTGTCTTCCCTCTGCTGCTCGTCTCATTCTTTTCGTTGTCCTCGTCGTCGTCGTCGTCATCGTCCTGCTCCTGCTTCCCCTCACCTTCCTCCTGCCCTTCTCCGGCTCCTTCTCATCGTCCTCACCCGCCTCCAAGTCTTCGTCCTCTTCGTCGCCAGCGTCTGTCATCGTCGTCCACCTCCGTGTTTTTTTCTTCTTCTTATTCCTCTTCTTCCTCCTCTTCTCCCTCCTTCTCCTCCTTCCGCTCTCCTCCCTCCTCCCTCCTCCCTCCTCCCTCCTTCCTCCTCCCCCCCTTTCCCTTCCCCTGCTCCTGCTCCTCCTCCTCCTCCTCCTCCTCCTCCTCCTCCTCCTCCTCCTCCTCTGTATCTCTACCCTTTTTCTTGCCTCCTTGCCCTCGCGTCGATTCGCCTACCTGGGAAGAGGAGCCCCACCTCGTCTGGATCGCCCGCGAGGGCGTGGCCGCGCCCGTGCCGGAGCCGTGGCGGCCGTGCACGCAGAACAACGACGACGTGTTCTATTTCAACTTCGAGACTGGGGAGCGCAGCGCGTCCCTGAACGGGGGTGGCGGAACACACCTCGATCCTCCTTCTCGTCCTCGGATCCTCCTCGGATGATCCTCCTCCTCTTCCTCGATCCTCCTCTTCCTGGATGCTCCTCGATCCTCCTTCTGCTCCTCCTCCTCCTCCTCCTCCTCCTCCTCCGCGATGCGGCATCCGCCGTGAGCGACGGGCCGCATCAGACGGGGGTGGTGGGACACAACAGAGGGGAGAAAGTGCCGATATCGTTGCTCGATGCAGTACAACTGCAAACAAGCTGCATACATACAAACTTTGGGAGCTCTCCGCGGATTTCTCGCATCGGCGCCGGGACCCCCTCAGGCAGCGCCTCAGGCGCCGCTCCGCGTGCTGGGGAGGGGTGGTCCAGCGTCGATCTAAGAAACCCGCGCGGACCTTCGAAAGTTTGTGATTACGCAGTTTTTGACCTGTAGGTGCCCTTGCCTCGTTTTCACGCTTGTGGGCGTCCTTGGAGGCTCTCGCTGCCACGGCTAGATTCGTCTCGAAATTCTGGTCAGAACACACCCCAGGAGAGGTCTGGGGAGTGGCGGTACACGCCGGTCGGCGAAAGTAGTCATATCCCAATCTATTGCGAAGGCCTTACGGCCGGTGCCGCCAACCGGGGGATATTTCAAGCGCCTGCCCACTTCAAGAATCGAGATGCTTTTGCTGCGTTTTGTTATTTTCTGGGAGGGCCTGAACCCAGCCTACTTCATCTGCGTTCCTATCATGTTTTTACCTACTTCCGACCAGCGTGCATCAGCACCTTGTGATTTCACCAGGAAGTGCAGATGCCGATGCCTCGTTTTTGCGTTTCTGGTCACCCGGGGGTCCTCGCTGCCACGGTCAGATTTGCCGCAGGATCCTGGTCAGAAGGCGCCCTGGGAGATGCTTGGCGTGTAGCGATATTTTTTCCTGGGCTCAAGAGATGGGGGTAAATGCAAACGGAGGTCAGTCAGAGCGCCGAATCTTGCAGGATCCTGCAGAGCCAGGGGCGCGCTGACTCGGATTTGGGTGCAGGATCCTGCAAGGCCTGACTGACCTGGGTTTTGATTGACCCGGGACTTGCAGAGGCCGCGGAGCAGGTCACACCCATGCGTTGTCGATAACAGGTCAAAGCTTCTGACGCCAAGGTCTTCATTTCCAAGATGTCCCTGTAACCGCATATGACTCAACGCGTGAAACCACAGGACGGGGCTGGGACGAGGACAAATCCGTTCCAGAGCGTTTCAGAACGCTCCGAGAAGGCCGCGGCGCCCGAGACATTCTCCAGAACCGCCAGATCTCAGAGATTCTCGATTTTCCTCATCCGATTTTATTAATTTTCCTGGTTTCGTCTGAAACCGATTCGAGAGTCTGGAGCGTCACGTGTTGGGCAAACCAGGGCGCCGGGAGGACGCCGCACGAGGCTTTGAGGAGTGCCCTCTTCCGAGGCCGCCCGCAGAGCCGCGAGAAGGTAACTAGCCGCGCCTCGTGCGGCGCGGTTTGGACCAGAGAGCGGCCCCTGTCCACCGCGTGCCGCGCATGGCGGTGCGCCATGCGCGAGGTTAGGTTACCTACAGTAAGCCCGCATAGTAAGGATGAGCGACTTTCCAAGGCTACCGTTGCATCCTTCCCCTTCGGCCCATCCTTGGCCGCTTTCGCTGGCGCGCCCCGCCCGCAGAGTGTCGACATGGCCTTTCAAGGCCCTTGCATCCTTATCGCGCATCCTTAGTATACGGGTTGGCTGTAGGCTTCAACCATCCTTCGATGTGGGGAAACATGCCTCGGGCGCTCTTGGGAACCCCGGGGCGTCCGGGCGGATGCCAGGCATAGCCCTTCTGTGCCTGGCTCATCGGGAGCACCACCTCATCAGTGCAGCCCCACGGGATGTTGGAGCATGGCGGTGGCACTTGTAGAATGCGCGCGATTTTGAAGAAGAATGTTGTTGTCATCCTTTCGAGATCGTGTTTCTGCCAAAAGTTCAACCGCATCATCAGGACGAGTAACTTTTAAGGGTGCCCTTGCATCCTTGCTTCTCGGCCCATTCTGGCCCTGAGGCACGGGCCAATGGCTTCCCACTTCGGCTTCGATTTTGGCGTCCAAGGGCCTGACATCATTGCCGCGCATCCTTATGACTTGGTCGCACTGTAGGAGGATCCCTTGCTTTCTAGCGCCCTTCCCCCACTGCGCTCCTCCTTTTGGGGCCTCGCCTAGGAGAGCGTGTGGGACCACCCATGCGACGAGAAGTATCGCAGGACCGTGAAGGAGGAGGGGGACGAGGGCAGGGGATGAGGACGATGATGACGATGATGATTATGATGCTGATGATGAAGATGACGATGCTGATGATGCTGATGATGATGACGATGATGATGATGATGATGATGATGATGATGATGATGATGATGATGATGATGATGATGATGATAATGGTGGTGGTGGTGGTGATGATGATGATGATGATGATGATGATGATGATGATGATGATCTGATGACGATGTTGCTGATGCTGGTGCTGATGCTGATGCTGATGCTGCTGATGATTCTGCTGCTGATGATGATTATGATGACGATGATGCTGATGTTGATGATGTTGATGATGATGATGTTGTTGATGTTGATGTTGATGTTGATGATGTTGCTGCTGATGATGATGATGATGATGATGATGATGATGATGAAGCAGAAGGAGGTGGAGTGGGATGAGGAGGAAAAGGAGGATCAGGAGGAGGTGGATGTAGTGAGGTAGAGGGAACGAGGGGAGGAACAGGAGAAGCAGGAGGACGACGGACGACGGATAAGCTGGAGGAACATGATGAGGTTGAGGGAGGCGGGGGAGAGGATTGGCGGGAGGAGGATCGGGGAGAGGCTGGGATAAGAGAAGGATGTGTATGGAGAGTGGGGGGGTGGAGGAGGAGGAGGAGGAGGAGGAGGAGGAGGAGGAGGAGGAGGAGGAGGAGGAGGAGGAGGAAGAGGAGGAGCACACATAAGACAGACATGGTTGAGGAAGGTGTGGTCGAGGGCTTGATTGCGATGGGGGATGGAGGCGGAGGTACAGGGGATGATGCTGCTGATGCTGATGTTGAGGCTGAGGCTGCTTCTGCTTCTGCTGCTGCTGATGCTGTTGTTGACGATGGTGATGGCGATGACGGTGATGGCGATAATGCTGCTGCTGATTTTGCTGCTGATGATGATAAGGCGGAGGAGAAGGAAGAGGAGGAATATGGTAATGAGGAGAAGGATCATGATGATGCTGCTTCTGCTGAGGATGACGCAGAGTGTGCTGATGCTGCTGATGATGTGGATGGTGGTGTTGTTGATGATGATGATGATGATGCTGATGATGATGAGGATGATGATGATGATGATGATGACGAGTATGCTGATGATGGTGATGCTGATGGTGACGCTGATGATGTTGATACTTCTGCTGACGACGATGAGGATGCGGCTGCTGATGAGGACGCTGATGACGATGACGATGACTATGACAAGGATGCGGATGCTGATGCTGATGATGATGACTATGATGACGAGTATGCTGATGCTGCTGGTGATGATGTGGATTTTATTGATGATGATGATGATGAAGATGTTGCTGCTGACGATGCTGCTTCTGATGATCATGGTTGTGATACTGCTGCTGATGACGCTGATGATGCTGATGCTGATGCTGATGACGATGACGATGACGATGAATCTTACGAGGAGGATGATGAATGATGATCGTAATGCTGGTGACGATGATGATGACGATGACGGTGGCGATGATGAGACTGATGCTGATGGCGATGACGAATGCGACGATTATGATGAGGTTGATGGTAACGTTGGGGATGATGGTGATGATATTGGTACTTATGATGATGCCTAGGATGATGATGCTGCTGCTGATGATGATGATGATGATGATGATGATGATGGAGAGTCTGATGATGTAGATGATAGCGATGATGACGCTGATTCTTATGATGATGTCGTATTGATGATGATGACGAGGATGGTGATGATGAGGATGCCGACGACGATGACGAGTATGCTGATGCTGCTGATGATGTGGATGTTGCTGATGATGATGCTGCTGCTGATGATGATGATGATGATGATGATGATGACGACGATGACGACGACGAAGACGACGACGACGTCGACGACGACGATGATGATGGTAATGACGATGATGGTTACGATGATGATGATGATGATGCTGATGATGATGATGATGATGATGATGGTGATGATGGTGATGATGATGAGGATGAGGATGTGGATGGGGATTGTGCTGCTTCTGATGATGATGATGATGACATTGATGCTGATGATGATGGTGGTGGTGGTGATGATGATGATGACGCTGATTATGTTGGGCTCTATTTTCTAAATAATACCTGTTGGTGAGCCCCCCCCGGCAGCAATTGTATTTTTGCACTTGAAGTGCCTCATCGGGGGGGGGTGCACCGGTGCACCCTGTCTTTTACAAGGGAAAGTGATGTGTCACCAAACTGTGTTGTTGCCCCCCCTGGTTTACAACAACAAGAACAACCGCGGCTCCTGCCTGATTCTTCCTCACAGTTCATTCCAAAAACACCCTTTCGCGCGGGACGTCCTCATAATTTAAACAGGAATCGCGCTCTCGCGTGGGACTGCCTCGCAATTCATTCAAACGCCGCGCCCTCGACGCTCAGGAATCGCGCTCTCGCTGTTGCTTTTCTCATGATTTCTGTGGCTGCAGAAGTCACGCTTCAGCAACCTGCCTGCTCGACCTAGCCGCCTTGGCCCGCCTTCTCGACCCTCCCGTTATTGTAGGGTCAACCCGCCCGATCAGCCCGTCTGGTTCTACCACGTGTTTTCTGTTCATGGCCACCGCGTCGTGCTAATCTCTCTCGTGCTCCATCCTTCATTCTCCCCCATCCGTCGTCTCCTCCCCTGTTTTCGGGGCTGCGCTAAATGTACGTGGCAGGTGAGGCAGATGTATCCCCAAGGAGGTACGGTCGAAAACGAAAAGGGCAGGTATCGAGCGTTTAGGATATACGTCTTGGACGGCACTCGAGCAGGTAAGAGCTAACAGTCTTACTTTGGTTGTTGTTGTTGTCGTCTTCGTCGTCGTCGTCCACGAATAGCGCCCTTGCGTTGGAATTCCCCGCAATTTACTCAAGCGCCGCGCTCCCGACACTCAGGCACCCAGGAGTAGCGCTCACGCTCAGGACTCTATCACATATTACTCACGTCGGAATCGGGATCTCACTGCCCTTTGTGGCCCCGTTGCAACCCTTCGTGGCCCCCTCGCTGCCCTTCGTGGCCCCGTTGCAGCCCTTCGTGGCCCCCTCGCTGCCCTTCGTGGCCCCGCTGCGGCCCTTCGTGGCCCCGTAGCAGCCCTTCGTGGCCCCGTTGCAGCCCTTCGTGGTCCCCTCGCTGCCCTTCGTGGCACCGTTGCAGCCCTTCGTGGCCCCCTCGCTGCCCTTCGTGGCCCCGCTGCAGCCCTTCGTGGCCCCCTCGCTGCCCTTCGTGGCCCCGTTGCAGCCCTTCGTGACCACCTCGCTGCCCTTCGTGGCCCGGTTGCAGCCCTTCGAGGCCCCCTCGCTGCCCTTGGTGGCCCCATATTCCTCTTCCTATATCTTTACAAGCCCGGGCGGGGGGACCCCCCCCCCCCAAAACCGACTCCCGCGATCTGGGGCTTTGGGACCCTTCGGACGGGCCTCGAAGCGGCCCCCAGGGCCTCGCAGGGCGTTTTGCCAACCCTTCGCAGCACACCTAGGGCGATCAGGGGGGGTCATCGAGTCATCGGAGACGTCCCAGTGAACCCCAAGACAGCACAAGAGCGCTACAAGAACCCGTCATACCCCGAAAGATCGCTCCAAAACGTACCAAGAGGCCTCCAAGAGCACCCCCAAGAAGGCCCCAAGAGGGACAACTAATTGATTTAATGCAGGTTTTTGGTGAATTTGGGGTTCTCCTCTTATCGGCTTCCCGACGCTCCAAGACAGCGGTCTTCTGGGCGTCCGAAGTCGCCTGGGAGGCTCCAAAATCGCCCCACAACCATCCGAAAGGGCTTCCAGGCAGTCCAAGAGAATCCCAAAATGGCTCAACAGGGGTCCAAAATGGCCCTAAGAGAGCCCCATGGCGGCCCAAGTCCAAATCGTGACCGGGGCGTTCAGGGACGGTTGGAAGCAGGTTGGCCTTAGGAAGCCCCAGAGGCCCCCAGAGAACACGCCCAGGAGGCCTCCAGAAGGCTTTCAGAAAGCTTGAGAACTTTGGTGAGGCCCCCAGAGGCTCTCCAAGGAGGAGCCTCCGCAAAAAGAGCTGAGGAGGATGAGGAGAATGCCCAGGGTATGGCGAGAATGAGGAGCAGCAAGCATGGAGGAAGGATAACGAACAACATTATTATAATGGCGATGCCAGAAAAGGTAGCAAGGAGTTATCGCTAATTTGTCCGCTTGACCTTCCTGCCATTGCCGCCTGCATACCAATCTTCAAGGACCAAGGTCCATGGCGCGAAGCGCCACTGCAGTCTTGTATCTATATATATATATACATACACACATGTATGCGTATGCCCTTCGTGGCCCCCGCTCGTTCGCGCCCAACGTGGCTCCGTATGCATGCTCTTCGTGGCCCTGCTGTCGCCCTTCGTGGCCCCCTCGCTGCCCTTCGTGTCCCCGTTGCTGCCCTCAGTGGCCCCGTCCTTGCCCTCCGCGGCCCAATATATGTATGCCCTTCGTGGCCCCCGCTCGTTCGCTCCCGTCGTGGCCCCCAGTGCATGCCCTTCGTGGCCCCGCTGTCGCCCTTTGCGGCCCCCTCGCTATCCTACGTGGCCCAGTTGCTACCCTCAGTGGCCCCGTCGTTGCCTTCTGTGGCCCCGCATTATTTGCCCTTCGTGGCCCCCGCTCGTTCGCGCTCTTCGTGGCCCCATACGCATTCCCTTCGTGTCCCCGCTGTCGCCCTTCGTGGCCTACTTCGTGGCCCTGCTGTCGCGCTCTCTCTCGCTCTCGCTCGTCGTCGTCGTCGTCGTCGTCGTCGTCGTGGTCGGTCCCCTGTCCGTCCTTCTTGTGGTCGGGTTGCCGCCGATCAGCGCTGCCGCTGGCCAGGCCGATGGTCCGCGGCCGCCCCGCCGCTTGCCGGGGCCCGGCCTGCAGGGAAGAAAGGTTTACCCCCCCAAAGGGGTACGATCGAAGACGAAGAGGGCGGGTATCGAGGGTTTGGGACATACGCGTTAACGGACACTCGAGCAAACAAGAGCGAACAGTCTTCTAATGATTGTT